TCAGACTAGAGTTCTGCAGCAGCCTAGGAAGCGACAGCCCAGTGAGGGATGGACAACGTGACAACCAGTGTTCAAGTTCCTCTTGTGTAAGAACTTCCCTGGGTTTGTTTGAAGAGCTTCACCTTCTGAGACAGTGTATTTATGCATAAACTCATATCCACGGCAAGTATCTCTTGCAGATGGTTATTTCGAATTATCCACTTACGTCACATACTAAGTTGAAGGCACTGTGATGCGTATTTGGGAACTGTTTCAACTACGTAACTTAAACGGAGTAACATAATGCAGTATTCCGAGTACCAATCCACATATTTTAAAGTTCCAAAGAATACTTTTATAGGATAAATAACGTCAACAGGCTTTCTCGAACCAAATTAAACATCTGGTACATCCTTCTGGCTTATAATTTAATGTATTCAAACATCATAGTAAACATCATAGTAAGAAAAAATACATAAAATTGAAAAAACTGTTTGAAAACAATTAGGTGTTACTATTAACATCACTTAAAAACTCTGCTTTCTAAAACCTTCTTCAGGTTTCCTCTGAATGTTATTTATACTAGCAGATTGGTGCTCTCATGTTTTAATTTAAATGTTGTTAAAAAATTGCTAACTATGAAAATATTAAAAAATTCCAGACAGAGCCTGGACAGAGAAATCCAAAGCTAAGTGAAACCACCACCAAACAGGCAGCAAGTATTACAGTAATTGTTGAAACTGGTGATAAACGTATTCATTTTCTAGGCAGTTTTAAGGGTGACTATTGCAGAAAAGTAAACAGACCTGCGTACATATCGTAGTTCACACACCTATTTTGTCCACCTAATTTCTTGAGAGGTCCAAGTCTGGGATCATCAGCTCAAGTGCCTACGGAGGCGATGCAGAACACGTGTGCGAAGCACGCCGAGGCGCGTCACACCACTGTCCAGCAATGCTACCTGCAGGCCACCGATGTGTGACTTGGGTAACAGAAAACACCAACAAGTAGGAAACAACCTCACAAGTAACCTATTATTTATAAAATTCACCATCATCCACAGTAATGTGACAAAAACTGAGAGAAAACTGCTTATTACTAGTTAATGAATAAATGCGTTTGGCAGGAAAAGAAGTTTTAATTCTCCACAAAAAGAATGAGTTCAACTTAGTTTTTCCATGAAAAGATATTTTGGATATACTGGTAACACAGCAGAGATATGTAACACAAACAAACATTTTTTTGTGTGTATTATTTTTTATTGTTTAGAACACCAAAGTAACCCAAATTTCACATTTACAACGAAGTTTTTAATAAAAATGCTATACATCATATTAGAGATACATATTATACAAAAGTTAAAAAAAAAAAAAGATCACAGACACTTATACAGTAGAGAGAATGAACCGAATTGTCATCTTTCATACTCCTTCTCTCCTGACTGACCAACAACCGCAGACTGTTGTCCTTAACTGTTCTACGAGCTGAGTGTGTTGTACGAAGACTTGAGCAAAGGGTTACAGATTTAAAAACCGAGTTATAATGAATTATTACTGTGCATCAAATAATTTGATTATTTTTAGATATGAGTATTATTAAAAGAATCAGAACCTCTAAAAGATGGAGGTTTGGTTCTCTCCAAATTCAGCAGCGTGGGCCACCCTAGCCCAACTCCAGAAACAGGGAGTCACCACTCCCTCACGAGCACCCACACGTCAGTCTGATCACATGGAAAAGTCTTTAAATAAAACCATCCTTAAGGCACTGCCGCCTCCCAGTATAGTTTGGTCTCACTATAGAATTTTTGAAGATCTGCTGAATACTTGTTTGGCCTCTTTCTTTAAAAATATTATTGCCACATTTCAGAAATTAAGTTGCAAGAATTCAATCAAGTCTCAAGGAGGCATTCACCTTTCATTTTAAGAAAGCTATACGAGTATTATTAATGGGAAAATACAAGCATTAAGTTAGCTTTTTAAACACAATACTGCTATGACTATCACCAGGTTTTCTCAGTAAGTCAACTTATGGGAACTTTATATGTGTGAACTCATGATCTGGTCTACCTTGAAAATAACTAAGGCAACTATATCAAGATGCTCGGAGCCTTGGTGGTGCAGTGGTTAAGAGCTCAGCGGCTAACCAAAAGGTGAGCAGTTCAAATCCACCAGGTGCTCCTTGGAAAAACCCTACAGGGCAGTTCTACTCTGTCCTATAGGGTCGCTATGAGTTAGTAATTGACTCGATGTCAATGGGCTTGGGTTTTTAATAGCAAGATACACTTTGGCTAAAAAGTCTGCCTCTGACCACCAACAAATAGAGCAGTTAAAAGTGAATCACAGCTGAAGTAATATAATTTTAGAATTGCAAAGTATAATTCTTTTTCCCTAGGTGTTCTAAACATAACCTACAGCATTTCTTACCTGAAATAAGCATCCACCGTTCACTGGCCACCTGCCTAACCTGTGGCAGGCACCATGTCAGACGTTCTATCACACATGTCAACTCACTGAGCCATTACGACACCCTGATGTGTCATTTTTATTCCCTTTTTACAGAGGAGGAAAACTGAAGTTTAGCGTCTTTTCTAGGCTAGAGTTCTCTGGCATAGCACAGCACTTCCTTTTTTATCGTAAGCAAAAACATGAGAGCACCAGAAGGAAACGTGACAGCGTCTTGGTTCTAGCATTCCATTACCTGAGTAATGCCAACAATACCCCAACCCAATTACTGACCCTTTCATACTGCAGTATTATGATCTGATTACTATATTCTTTTATCAAAATGGTGGAACTGTGACTAGGGTCTTTTGGATGAATTCTTTATTTGCATGAACTCTCCTATTTGCATGAACATTTAAAAAATCTCGTTTCTCTAAGAGGTCAATGTTCATGGAACATTCTTTCCACGGTTTCCAACTGAAGGAACACAGAGCATCCTTCTGATGACTGAAGCTAAACCGGTGCATTTTTTAGTTAAAAATGTTTATTTTAATAAGATAGTTCTCACTTTTATCACATGTCAAAGTTTAAACCTTTTCAGATTTGATAGTCTTAAATTTCTAAATTTTGTTTTTTAAAAGTTACAGAGATAACCATCAGGGGTGAAACAGAAAGAGCCATCCGCCCACTGACTCACTCATGTAACCAATGTCCCTCCTTCCCTCCCTCCCTCCCTTCATGTAGCTTCCATCCTAGTGGGAGGAAGGTGGACACCCAAACAGATACATGGAGGGTGGTGACAAGTGCTGCTAACAGAGATTCTGAGTTTACTTCTTTTTCTAGCAGTGTTTAGTTTACTAAATAAGTTTATTTTTTAGGCTTACCAACTTTTCATCTGTTTTTTTTTTTTGTTTCACATGTTGGATGCAGAGTTTAAACTGTAGGTTTCAATACTGATTACTAAAGAGGGCAGAGTCTTCAAGACCTAAATCAGAGGTGGGCTACCTACTCTCTAGGACCATTTGAAAGCAGTGGTTCCTTAAACTCTGGGAGATTATGAAACCTTTTCACCTGTTCAACCAATTTACTAAGCATCCATGATGTGGCTGGCCCTTTCCAGCCCAGAAAAATGCACGAACAAATGCAGTTTTGTAAACAGTCTCAAGTAGTCTAATATCCATGCACCCTAGACTAGGAAACTCCATTTCAAAGGGAACTCATAATCAGGGATGTGGAGGTGGGAGGGTGGAGTCAAGGGAGTCACAGGAAAATTCTAGCCAACTCTGACTCTGTGACTCTTGAGCAAATCTTATTACAACTAAGGAAAAAAAGCAAAATAAAACAGATCCAAAGATGTCTGGTCTCGCTCCTAGTCCAATGTTCCTTCTACTATATGATTTCCATCAGGATGTAGACCTCTTAAGCAACCTTCTCGTTAAACAAACCATTTTCGTCATTATGACGACTACCGCTACATTACTGGCCACAAATTTTAATCCCAAAATCTGTTCCATCATTACCCAGTCTGTGTACTAAGGAAAGTAAAAATCAAGTTTATCATCAGCCTAAGCTCAGTCTTGGAAAGGGCAGGAGACAGTATGCCATTTTAAAAACAGATTTTTATTACAAATGTAACACATGCACAACATAAAAATTGCCAACAGTACTGAAAGGTATAAAGGGAAAAGTAAAAGTCCTCCATTAGAAATCAATGTCCCACAGCCCTACCTCCCAGAAGTAACCCATGTGCCTCTTTCCTAAGATGATAAAAGCTTGAAATACCAATGGGCTCACTAACTAGCATGTTATAATGCTAAGGAAATACTAACTCCCCATTAAGAGAATCAAGTGTCAGTCATATTTGGCAATACCACTTCAGATTAAGAATTTACTTATTTAAAAGATGGTCTACTATAACAAGCATGCAATACATTTATTTACAATTCAAGCAAGCAAGGGTAAAGGGCAAGCCCCCTTTAAGATGTAAACAATCTAAATCACCCCTCTCTTGATCTTAGTAATTAACAGACATCAGAATCCTTAAAGCTTAGTAAAGGGTATAACAGATAAGGCCCAGCAGGAGAAAACTGAGGGGCCGGGGGAAAGCACGGGAGGCCGTGCAACAGCCACTCAGCTAACAAGGCCATTTTATTGCAATGTATCAAAGAGGAGTTCCTTGCTAGCCTACAAAGAATGCTACCAGGGTCTAGGGGTTCTAGATCAATAAAAATCAGTCCTGACAGGAGAAAACCCATGTTGTCAAAGAAATGCTATCTCCTATAAAGCTGGGGAAAGACTCTGAGGTTACAGCAATCACGAACTTTGTACCAATTCCTTTTTACAGCGATTAATCATTTTTCTATGCCAAATTAAAACATGCAAATCCAAACTTTTATTCGAGACAGATAAACATGATCTCATCTTTGAGAGTGTCTCTTGGGATACTCTTGGTAAAGACTTAAAAGGAAGACTTTCAAGAAATAGGCTGGAGAACATTTTACCGTAACAAGCATTGTTTTTAAAAAAAAAACTAACTTGAAAAAGACAAAACAGAAACTAATGATAAAAAACTTAACTTACCAAGAAGTGAAACGGGCTGGGTTACAGGAGGAGTGGGCAGATTCGTGGGAGCAGCAGGTGGCACGGCAGAGCCATACATTTTCACACTGTCACCAGACTCGGCGTTTCCTCTAGCCCCAGACACCACTGTTGGAATGGGATTTCCAATAGATAAGTCTTTTGTAGTGTCTTCATTTATACCAGCGATAGTAGCTAAGGAATATAATCACATCAACATGTGAAGCTGAGTAATTAATGGCCTCCCCAGTAAACACTCTTTTGAAACACTACAGACCCTACTACTGGTTCACTCTCCCTCCTAGTCCCAAGACGACAGGGTAACGCAAAGGAAAAATATGCTTACAGTTTGGGATGCTTATTGGTGGAGTGTGAGGAGGAGGAATGGATACTGGTGGAGTTATAGGAGGTGGGGGTCCAGGAGGAAGAAAACCTAGAACAAGGAAAACAATGCCAGTTTATGCTGGGCCACTTCACTTCGGGCTCTGGACAAATGTCTTCTTAAACTTAGCATACCTGGTGGTAAATGCATTGGGTTGAATCCCGGGCGCAAAAATGGTGGAGGTGGTGGAGGAGGAGGAACACCAGGGCCAAAGCCCGGAGGGGGGATCCCCAAAGGAGGCGTGAAAGTAGGAGGCTGGAGTGCACCCACTACAGGGGGACCTGGCTGGTGTGGTGGGACCTAGAGAGAAGAAAAATGAAACCACGTATCCGTGCCCCCCACACTCACATACTGAGTACAGATCCAGAAAATGTCATACGGCTAACAGGAAGTTTTTTTCTTTTTAAATTGTGGTTACATGAATTTATTCGCTAATAGGTGGTAGTTACCTGTACTCACCAAACTCATATAAATCAAAGTTTTGCTCTCAATTTTATCACAGCAAACTCACACTATATTTTACCAGTATCTGTTGGTGTCTGATAGGATATATGCCTTAAAATGTTCCAAGGTCTGGTAAAATAATTTGGGAAATTACATCAAGACTACACAGTGGTTACTACCACAGGTCCTGGAGTCAGACTGCCTCACCCCCCGCTTAACTAGCTGTGACCCTGAGCGAGCTACATAACCTCTCTAGACCCCACATGACTGGGGGGTTAAATGAGTTAAGCACCTCTAGGAGCAAGGCCAGGAGGGGGAGTTTCCACATCACAGATCGGAAACCGATGCTTAAGAGGCTCAGCAACTTGCCCAAGTAACAGTGTTGAATGTAAACAATGTAGGTGAGAGTCAAACCCAGTTCTGCCAGAATCCAGATTCTTTTTTCTTAAGTAATGGGATGGCTGGTTAGACAGCAAAGATCCTATGTAAGAACATACTTTCACGATACGTGGCATTCAATTTATTAAACAGCTCTCAGTCATCCATTTAAAACATTTCCTGATGGCACCAGCCAATTCAGGATTAAGCAGCTCTCCTCTCAAAGAAGCTGCTTAGTGGACACACATCCAAGTTCCCTCAGAGTACAATGTCCCCGAACAGTACACATCCAATAAGGGAAAAAAAGGGTGAGCAGAGTACAAGGAACTCCAACAGATTCTCTCCTCACGTCTGGGACGTTACAGGTAAGAACATGCACATTTATGCACTCAGATCTTTGACTATTAATCTACATTTATAATGAATCTTCATAATAAGATTTAGCAAGGGATCTTTCAGACACTGACAAATTTAAATAACTGCCCACATTGTCTCACCTGCGGAGGTGGTACTGCTATAGGTGCAGGCACAGGAATAGGTGGGACAGGAACAGGCAAGGCTTTAGGTATGGGTGATACTGGTTCTGTGTGTGAGGTTTCTGCACCTCCATTTTGAGCAACTTCATTTTCAGGCTTCTTGGGAATTCCTTTCCAATCTGAGAGTTAAAAGAAATTTAACAATAAAAGTTTACCACTTTTCATTTTATAGTTCTAAATCTAGACATGATTTTTTAAAATGTTAATTATAAACAAAACTCAGCAATCTGACTGTTAAAGATTAATTCCTACATTAATTTGATCAATTACTTAAATTAATGAGTAACAAAGCAATCATGTAGGAGAATACTTTCCATGTGCCAGGCACTGTCCTAATCCTTCATAGAGGCAGTCCCCGGCTTACGGATGTCCTTCCCTCCCCTTCGGCTCCTCCTCCGGGAGGAAATGACGTGTTGCCGCTTGGCTAATCACAGCTCCAGACACTCAGTGGCCACTTCCTCCTCCTCCCGCTCTGATCCAGCTCTTTTCAGGCTGCCCTCTCCGGGCAGGGGGAGCTTTCTTCCTCTCTGTGACCATCCTCCCTGCCTTCACCCCTTCCTCCTCCTCTTCGCCCAGCCTCCCCTCCCTCCCCTCCCTCCCCGGGGTGGCCACTGCCAGCCTGCTCCCTGGCCCCACGCTCAGCTCCACAGCCACTGCTGGAGGGGAGGGCAAGAGTCCAGGACTCCCTCCGGCCAGCAGGGACCTGCAGCACCCAGCTGGTTAAGTGACGCACATCAAAACATTATTATTACTGTATTACTATGTTAAAGTTGTTTTTAGTTTATCTGAAAGTGTTTCTTTAATGTTTTTTATGCACAGAAAATTACACTATGTACTACATATTAAGACAAACACGGGACTAACTGACCTTAGATATGAACCGAACCTAACTGTTCAGACTTATGCACAAGTTCGACTTGCAGACAGACTTAGGAAAAGAACTTGTTTGTAATCCGGGGGCTGCCTGTATATACTGATTCATTTAATTCTCCTAACCATCTTTACATACTTTCTATAAATGCTGTTACTACTCCAATTTTACAAAGGAGGAAAGCCATCAACCACTTGTCTAGGTCACACACCTAGTAAGTGGCAGGGCTGGGACTTGACCCAGACAGTTCTGGCTCTCAATGACAACAGTAGGTTGTTTGAAGTATTACAAAAGCAGCAATAAAGATACTGAAACACCCACTATCTCCTGAATAAATGTTCCCTAATATTAAAGAACTACTCAGGTAGCCTTCAAGCTATTTCTGCCTTCCTTCCAGTTCAAGTGAAAAACAAGCCACCCTTTCCACTCTGCCCTCTGGAGCCCTATTCCATCCGAAATTCTCTGCTCTCTGGCTCTCAATAAGCCCTCCAGTGGACCATGAGCTCCAAGGGAACTGGGGAAAGGTAGGGTGGAGATTCCACTGGCCTGCTCTGTCGCCTGGACCAGAGCCTTTCAGAACGCCTGGCACATAAAAGGTCTTGGACACCTGTCTGTCTGAACAGAAACCTAGCTCCATCCATACGTGAAGGCCTCACATGGAGGGGAGGAGGCGTGGGAACAACACAGTACTGTTTCCTCCAACCACCATGCCTGCCTGAAGCTGCCCTGAAAGGTCACTCTATTTTGCCGTGTCATGCTGAGCTCCTCCTCATCCTTGCTGTCTGTCTCCAAGCCACGCCTGTACATTCTGCCCTTCCTCCCACTCCAGTCCCATGCCAAGCCAGCATCTTAAATACTCAAGCCCACGAATGACTGCACCTCCTCAAAGTCTTCTCTTACTTGTCTACTGCTTCTCTGGACATGTAAATGTGTCCAAAGAACTTATTATGAAGCACTGGAATAGAACACAATACCAACGACACTCAGTTTAAGACTCATCTGATCTGCCAAGTTTTCAAGTGGAAATTCTTCCTGCAGTCAAGTTAAGCAGCAATTGCTTCCTCTGTGCTGGCATCTCTCCCAGCAGATACAAACGACACAAGAGTAAAGACCAAGTCTGTCTCATTCACTACTGTACCCTCAGTCTGTAATAGAGAGACTGGGACAGAGTGGACACATGAAAAATCTCAAAACTCACTTGCTAACGAAGAGAATAAACAGGACATCTGATTTATCACATGCATTACCAAGCACACAGATGAAGGTTAAGAGAAACACAATACTATTTTACCTGGGTTAAGTGTATCACTGTCCAACATTCCTCCTTCACAAAAACTCTCCAGTTCCTCAGGCTTGACTTTGTCCCATGGAATATATGTAACACCAAGCTCTACATCCCAATACTGCTTATAATCTGCCTTTATTCCTTTGTTTAAGGCCCAGGCAATCTAGTTCACCATTAGTTATAAAGAGAGAGAGAGAGAAAAAAAAGTCGTAAGTCTTGAGAGTTAACTACTCTCCACCATTCTAATCACACCACACCGGCCCCCTAAACCACCCAGGGCCACTTTTGAAAGCCTGTGCGTGCCACAAATTACTCAACAAGAGACTAAGGCCCTCTGGGAGGGTGCGCCAAGGATAGAACCAGGGTTTATAACACTGAGGAAACACTAACTTCATTTAAAAAAAGTTCAAGTGTTTCTAGGAGACTACTACCTATGTACTTAGATCCTTTACTCTGTCTTTGGTGAGTTTCGCTCACAGTTAATTCTAAGGTGAGACAGCAAACTTTAAGAATAACGTGTGGAAATTTAAACATGTTTTGAATGACAAAATATTTTTATTAAATGACATTATGTTTAAAGTACTAATTAATGTACTTTCGGTCAAGCCACCTACACTTAAAAAACAAAAAAGAAAAAAACACTACCGTGCAGCTAACATTGACATTTTTATGTTAATACAATATTGTAGCTCCAAGAGAGAAGCACTTTTAAAAAACCACAGTGTATGAAATCTCTCAGGGTCGAAAGTCATTCACTTCTAAGCCGAAAATTAAAGTTTAAAAAAAACCACATATCTATTAAATCTTTAAAAATTGAATTGTAAGGTATAAAACTGTACCTTTATGGATTTCTGGTTCACTTTATAGTTTCCTCGGCTCAGTTTCTGCAGGGCACGATAAGCATCTTGCCTATGAACCATAACAATATAGGCACAACCCCTGGGAGGAATCATCTGCTCCAAAAACATTTTAAAATTACAAAATATGACAACGATAACAACAGAAGCAAAAAGCAGTAAGATAAAATACCAAAGCAACCACTGCCAACAACCTGTTTCTGACACTCCTGGCCAGCTTTCTATAAACTGAGATTAATTTCATTTATTATAAGAAAGTAAACTGGCATTTTAAGTTTGGTCTCAATTGGCAATTATTAATGAACCTACACGGTCCCCTTCAACTAGCAATTATTAATGAACCTACATAAACCCACTGCCGCTGAGCTGATTCCGACTCATAGCAACCTTATAGGACAGAGTAGAACTGCCCTACAGAATTTCCAAGGAGTGACTGGTGGATTCGAACTGCTGACCTTTTGGTTAGCAGCTGAGCTCTTAACCACTTTGCCACCAGGGCTCCAATGAACCTACATGGTATCCCTCAACTGACAACTATTAATGAACCTACACGGTTCCCTAAGCTTTGTTACGTAAAGACTTTATACTAGAAAAAGGTTTTAAATTAAACTTGGTTATCTAACAAATGTGGTTAAACGCAAATACCTAAACTCTAGCCACATCTTCTATAAACCTGGGCTAACTATAACTTAGGTCTCAAGTCCTTAACTTCTTAAAATGACATTAATCCCATGTGTCGGCCGTCACACTCACATTAATGGACTCAATGGGACCAAACTCCTCCAGGAGACTGGCGACATCCTGCTGTGTTGTCCTTTTGTCCAGCTGGCCAACCCAGAGTGTAGTACTACAAACTTAAAATTATAATCAGAAAAAATATTCACATTTGCAAATGAGCAGCACTGCACCTTATTTGAAAAAAAAAACTATCATGCAAAATAGGCCTGAGTTACATTATGATACCACACATTTAAACAACAAGTCCCATACGCCTTAAAACTTTTAACTTAAAAAGTTCTAGAAAAATTGTGGCTGTACTTCCAAAACTGAACCAGGATAGCGAAAGGTACACCTAACAGTTGGAAAAAACTGGCCTTTTTGTGGACAGATTTAAAGATTTCATTTTTAGAAAACTGAGGCCAGAGAAGCAGTCAACTTGCCCAAGATCACCTGCCAGTGAACAGCAGAGGTAGCTGAGTCCAAGTACCGTGACTACCAATCAATTCAGTGCTTTTGTTCACTGTACGTAACTGTCCTCCTCCAACTCTTCAGCGTTCACGGGTTTTTCTTTTACGCTGTGTCCTAAGTAATGAGTCTTACAGACTCAAGAGGTTTTACATATGCCCTAGTCATCCGATGAATTAACATCTTACTAATAATTACTGACTTCTATCAAGACTATATGTAGTACACCTTATTAAAATATTCTAACTTATTGATGAGATTTAGGAGAGAATGCAAGCTAATCTGTAAATTTTAAATCTCCATGGCAAACCATTTTTTTCCATTTCGTACATTAGATTCAAGACTTGATCACTGGTAACTCGTACTTTGTTCACTCCTTACTGCTGCTTCTTAGAACTGGTCTAATGTACAAAAGCGACGACCAGGGGTATATACACCAACACATACACACAGAAGGCACGATAAAGCAGTACTCAGAATAAAAATCAAAGCAGCCACAACATTTCATTTACGGCTTTGTTACTTAATTATGAAACATTTAAATCCCTGACACGAACAAAACAAAGCAGGAAGTCTGCATCTGGAGGCGACGTACCACTCGCAGTTTCTGGTTTGATCTGAGGAAGGCCTTTCTGTCGACGCTCCCTCTCTTTTTCTCGATCCCGTCTTTCTTGGGACCGAGACCTAGGAGAGTGCCTGCGTCTGTCCCTGGATCGAGACCGAGAACGTCGATGACGGGATCTTCGAGATCTAGAACCCGATCTAGACCGCCTTCTTTTTGGTGACCTATTTCCATGGGAAGGGACAGCACATGGGGAGAAAACAGAAGATGCCCCTACATGGATTAACTTGAAAAACAAAAGACACAGTCAAGGAATTTAATGTCTGGATATGTAAGAACTGAGAGCAAGCAACTCATTTTAAAAGATTTTTAACAAGCTCAAAGTTAGAAAGCATATATATAATTCAACCCAGGTAAGTAAGACTTCCAGTTTATCTAAGTATCTCTCATCTTCAGTACCACGGATACTATACTCGCAGTGTAAGAAACGAATTTTCTCACTGAACTATCTGCTACTACTTGTTATCTATCTTCTCAGTATTCTTTTTGTAACACTTAAAAATACTTAAAAATGTCATCCAATTGTACTTTATGATATACTTACGATCTTTCTACTTTTTTGTTGGTTGACAAAGTTGTAAGGGAACTGAATATGTAATTTTTTTTTTTTTTTTACTGTACTTTAGATGAAGGTTTACAGAACAAAGAGTTTCTCATTAAACAGTCAGTAGATATTGTTTTATGACATTGGTTAACAATCCCACAACATGTCAACACTCTTCCTTCTTGACCTTGGAGGGCCTTTATTTTGGTGAACATATACATAATCAAAGATACACCGCTTCAAAAGTTTCTGCATGTACAATTCAGTGACATCGACTGCATTCTTCCAGTTGTGCTGCTATTCTCACTACCCTTTTCCAAATTATTCCATCACCATTATCTTCAACTCACTGCCCCTTAGGCTTCCCATCAAACCTTCTGAGTTGCTGTTATCAATTTGATCTCACATAGATAATTCTTCTTTTTTTTTT